ATAGGGTAGATCTTATGTGTTCTTACTACAACAATAAAAATGACCCTTTTAGAGATAGAAAATGATACTCCAAGCATATTGATATTCAGAGAAAAGTGGGTGTAGTTGTATTTATACCTGACAAAATAGATTTCAAGATAAAAAATAACAAAAGACTCTTAAATCACAATGCTTATTAAAAAAAAAAAAAAAAAAAAAACAGGTTTCTGACCCTAAATCGACAGGTTACTTCCAGGACTCAGCCCCAATCTCTGGGGCCACCAGAGACCAGATGGGTCTACTCTCTCCTCGAATCCCTTTCCCACTTCCTCTGGGAGGGCAGGCGGGGGCCAGGCACGAGTTCTCGGGGCCCTAGGCAGCGATGCCACTCTTCTCACTTCCCTCCACCTCACCATGGGGGCCACCGTCAGACCTGGCTCAGCAGCCCTGCCTTTGGGAAGAGTTGCAAGATTATTCTTGCATGATGACATGTTTCTATTCTTATTTATTTTTAATAAGAGGAAAGGATGTCATTTGTCTTTTTTTCACATCTCCTTTTGATCATGCCCCCAGCTCTCCCCCAGCCTTCCCCCAGCCCCAACTCTGCAGGACTTTCTGACCCTGGGATCTGTTTCTTCAGAAGCCAGCTGCATAGTCTTATATAGTATTCAGGGGTTGGTGACAAGGATGGTATGCCCTGCTATCCTCCCAGGCTACTTCAACCTGTCTTCAGGGCAAGTCACCATTGTCAACCCCGAGTGACTCTCATGGGTGTTTTTTTCCCATCTGCTGGCCTCTTTTCAGGCCTTACCCATGGTGAGCTGCCTCGGGGATGTCAGCTCCCCTGAATTGTCCCATCCCAGTGCCTGGGAGATACAGTGGTCCCCAGCCAGCTCCTGACTGAGTCACAGGTCAGGAGAGTAGCTTGAGTTGACCAGCCTGGATTCTGCTGAATGTTTTATTAGCCACTGTCCTCATGAGGGGCTGTCAGCACATCAAAGCAGTATTTGTAGAGGCTGGAAAAGTAGCGACTGTGACAGACATTAGATGGTAGCTATGGCTACACCATAAAGTCCCCTCTGGGGGGATTCGAGGAGGTAGGGTAGATGGAGAGTGTCACTTTGGTTCTTGACTACAGGAAACGCAAGATGAGATCCAAATGTCCACATTCTTTAAAATGGATTTGTGCATTAACTCATGAAATTCTTGAGCTTAGAACTCTGAGTTTAGGCTGCACAGCACAGTATAGGCAAAAAAGTGGGTTCTGGAATCAACCAGATCTGGGTTCAAATCCCAGTTTTGGCATTTGGGAACTGTGTGAAATCGGGCTCATTATGGACCTTCTCGAAGCCCAGGCTTTGCTTCCAGTAGAATGAGGATTACAATCTTGCTCTTAAAAGCCTGGTGAAGGGACCTGGGACCACATGTATAAACTGCATGGCCAGGGGGCACTCAATAAATAACATTTCTTACCTCACAGGGCACGTCCAATGTGGGAGCCCTGTGGGATCTTCTAGGCCACCCCCACTTGGAAGAAGCTTCCTTCTGGTCAAGATGGTGCTTGACTTAGTGCTGTCATCATGGTGACTATGTTATCCCTGACTCCTTGATTGTCTCTTAATGGTGGGCAAGAGGACAGATTGTTCTGTGATGCTACAGGATGGGGTACCCTGGGAAGGTGACTTTGAAATGTGGGAAGGGAAGGAAAGGAAGCAGGAGTGGGCAAAGGCAGAAGTTGATATGTGATGCGGTTTCAAGGAAGGCCTTGGCCAATCCTACAGGTAGCTCTGGCACTGGAGTGGCTCTTCAGAGCTGTCCCGAGTTGGGCTCGAGGCCAGACCACGAAGGTGGCCCTTGGACAAGGTGGTTCTATTTAAGGCAATTCCTGACGAGAACTGACAGTGGAAGCTGTGTGCGGGCAGCACTTTCAGAGTCTGGGGGATTCAGTCCTTCATCTCCTGAGGGGAAATCTAGGGGCACAGCACCCACCACGAGGCCTTCCTACAGGTGGCCACGACATGGGCCAATGGCCTCAGGACAAGGAGCTCCACTTCTGCCTTCACTGAGGGGAACCACAGGTCCCTCTGGAAAACCTCAGGCCCGGGGAAGTTTCTGTGGCATTCCTATATACTCTTCAGAACTTGTAGGTTTGTTAGACTCAGGGAACACATCTGTTCCCCTTCAGCTCTGACTTCTGAGGATTCCTCAGGCTCAGAGTAGTAGGAGAATCAGAGTTCCTCTCCCCCCTCCCCCAGCCAAATGATTTTGCTAGAGTCTGGACACCCCAAAGGTTTCCCAGTGCACTTAGGATAAATGCCAGTCTTGCTCTGGCCTTTAAGACCCTTTGAGTTCTGGCCCCACCTGCCTTTTCTACCTCATCTCATATTAATCTCTTCTTTTCTCCTAAAACTCTAGGGCAGAGCTGCTTAAGAGAACTTTCTACAGTTAGGAAAATATTTTATACCTGTACCATCCAATACCATAGACACTAGCCACATGTGTTTCTAGAATACTTGAAGTATGGCTAGCGAGACTGAGGTACTGAATTTCTTATTTAACATAAGTTTATAGATGGCCACAGGTAGCTAGCGACTACTGCGTTAGACATCACAGGTCTAGCCACATAGGCCTTTTTTCTGTTTCCCAGACACCCAAACTTGTTCCTACCTCGAGGCCTTTACGTGTGCTGTTGCTTCTGTAGAATTATTCTGTAGAATAATGATCCCTTGGATCCTCTCGTACTGGCTCGTTCTCATTCTTTAAGTTCTGACTCCAACATCATCTCCTCAGAAAGGCCTTCCTTTACCACTCAAGCATTTTCTCGAATTCCAGCCCCCTTCTTCACATTTTTACAGTATACTTTAGCCTCCTCATAGCATTTATCAATACCTGAGGTTTTCTCACATATTTATTTCTGTTTATTGTCTCTTGCCTGCAACTCGAAAGAATAATAGCAATATAAAAGTTGATATTTACATGGCATTTACTATGTCGGCTACCAGTTTAAGCATATCATACAGATTATCTCATCTAATTCTCACAACAACAACCTTACGAGGTAGGTACTGTTTTTTCCCCCCATTTTACAGATGAGGACAATGAAACACAGAGGCTGATTTGTCTAAGGTCACACACCAGCGCACACTCTGTCTTTTTCACCTCTGTAGCCTCAGCACCATCCTGGGACAGTGCCAGACACATAAAACAAGGGCTCCATAAGTTAACCATTGACTATCTAGGATTCTGCTAGGTGGGGAGGCCGAGCTAGTGTGGGCCCAGTCCTGGATATGGGCACTGGCCTTGCAGCTCTGTGGAACCCCAAGCTAGAATAGTGGACTTGGGGCAAGGGCCAGTGGGAATGCTCAATGTGGCCTGTAGTTGCACCCACTTGATCCTGGTGGGCTAGGATGGGAAGAGGAGTGGGCTATACTGAGCTAAACTGGCCCACTCCGCTAAATTGGCAGTGAAGTGAGGTTCTAGGCCAAGGTGGGCTCTCCAGAGCCAAGGCTGGGCCTGGGCTGGGGCTGCGGAGTGTGTTGGGTAGAGCTGGGCTGGGGCTGGAGCTGGACCATGGGCAGGGGCTGGAGCTGGGCTGCGGCTGAGGCAGGGGCTAGGCCAGGGGCTGGGGCAGGAGCAGGGGCTGCTAGGCCTGTGTTTATTGTGCTTTCCTGGTCCTCTGGGCAGAAAGGGACCAGAGCTTTGGAGACCACCCAGGCTTTTCCTCTGTAGAGAGCTCCCACACCCCCTGCACTGCCTCGGGCTGTCCAGCTGCAGGGGGGTGGGGTGTAGGGGCTCTGCAGAACTGCAGTGGGGAGGGCCTTCTCTGCTATAAGCTCCTTCATGTGAATCAGCACCTGATAACGTAGCCTGGTCACCCCAGGGTGCCCCGCCCCCACTAAACAGCATCTTCTCCTAATTAAAAAGTCAGGCAGGGCCTCCAGTCGGGAAGGGACATTCCATGAGGAGGGGTCTCTGGCAGAGGCTTCGTGTCCTCTTGATGTTGCCGTCCCCATTTCCTGTAGGCTCCACAGTTCACCACCTCCTGTGTGCAGCTCCCCACTCCCACCCCTGCCCTTCCCTCTGCACCCCAGGCTTATAGGTGTGAAGGAGCTTTGGACAAGCAGCCTAAAACACAAGTGCTAGTCCCAATGAGGCCTCTTCTCTGCTGGGTGATCTGGAGCAAGCTTCTTAACCTCACAGCTAAAGTGCAGTGCTCGGAAACTCTCAAGTTTATTCATGCAAGGTCAAAAGCAAGTGCAAAAAGTCATAACTGTTCATCAAAGATTTTATGTTGACTCAATAGTCCTCCTTCTTTAGCCTAAGAAAATAATCTAAATGCACAGATATTCATTGTCACATAATATATAAAAAACATGGAAACTTCCAGATCTAGTAACCAACAAATAGCTAAATCACAGTATATTGCACAGCCATTTAAAAACTGTCATTTTGAAGGCTGCGTACAGGCATGCTAATTTTAATTCTGCGAACTTAGGTATGCATGTGGACCAGGATCAGAGAGGAAAAGAGAAATGGAAACAGTTGTGTGAGAGCAGGGGGCTGGGGGATTAGGGATGATCTGTTTCCTTCACAAAATGTCCTTTAATGTTCTTAAAGAGCTGTTTTAACAATAAATAAATGCCAGGAAAAACAAACTCTTTTTAGAAAGCAAAGCCAAATATAAGATCCAAAGTGTTTTCACTATTCTCAACTGAAATGTATCCAGTTCTCTGGCTCCTTGTTCACCCCAGGACCCCAGAGCCCCAACACGTACTCATGAGGTCACACACGAGCCATGCAGGCCAGCCCTGCCCCCGGCCTGTCTGGGCTGGTATTTAAAATACAGAACCAAACATCATCCTTTCCTTTTCCTTCTTCCCCTTCTCCTAATATATGTTTAAAGCTCTCTCGGTTCAAAAGATAGTGATTTCCATCTATCTCTGCTTGCCACCAGACGCTGGTTAGAATTTCTACATCCTCAGTTATGAAAATTCTTTAACTTACGCTAAGACCCTGGCCAAGGATGGCAAATATGTTTCCTCACAGGTGTCAGCTCTGAGTGATTGTTTGTGGCTGCCAAAAGTACAAGAAGTAGCACTGAAATAGATTAGTTATATATGCCATGGACCCTGGGTAAAAGAGTAATGATACAGGTCCCAGGTATTTGCTATCCCAGAGTAGTCTGGTATTAAAAGTAGAGCTCTGACACCTAGAATTTCCTCTCAACCCTACCAGTGCTTTCCTGGAGAATCCTGGGTACTTCATAACTTTGTTCTGTGTAAGGATGGGTGGATGCACCCAGTTCTCCAGGAAGCATGCTGATGTGGAAAGGGGGTGCACTTTGCAGTCCGATGGACCCAGGTGATAATCCCAGTTCCATCATTTATTATTGACCTTGGACAATCTACTCGATCTTATTGGACCTTGGAGTTTTCATCTGAAAATTAGAATACTTGCAGATAAGTTGTGTTATGAAGATTAGAAATAGTAAATAGAAAGTGCCCAGTCTAGTGCCTGACACATGATAGCTGTTATCCTGGACACGGTGAGGTTCAGGGGAGCTTCGTAGTTCCATTCAGGTAGGTGGTGTCATTCAGGCAGGTGGAGTGATTTAGGCAGGTGGTGTGGAAGAAGGCCCATATGGAATTGCTAGGCTACCATCTATGGGCTGTATATTCCTTTATGGCTCCCTGGCCCACATTTACATAAGCATGCCTTAACCACGGCCTTGAGGACAAATAAGATAGCTGCTTTAGACATGATTAATTGAAAAACAAAAACAAGAAAACTTTTCACTTGATTATGCTATTATAAAACACTCCATATTATAACCAAGCATTAGCATTTATTAATTACTAATCATGGTATATATTCCTAACTGTGTACAATTTAAATAAGATTTAAGAAAAATTGATACCCAGGGATAATGAAGTACCTCACTAATTATCAGTTACTCCCAATCACTGCTTCACAGGGCTTAGTAAACTCAGCTTTCTAACTCTCTGACATCCTTAGGCTTTGGCCTTGTACAGCGTGCATCTTTACCTCTGGGCTTCCACGTTCAGTGGAAGGAGGGAGGCAAAAAGGGAAAGATGTAAATACTCTTGAAGATGGCATAACCAAATAATTCCACACTTGGTTAAAGCTGACTCTCAAACACAAGTTCAGCTTCTAAACACTGTTATGACATTGTTTTTTCACAGATCTTTAATTTAGGTGATAGCCAGTGGAACCACCCCATGAATACTCATTCATGTATTCAGCAAGGACTTTCTGAGTACACATTCTGGGCCAGCAGTTCTAAGCTGCAGAATTGGAACAGATCAGGCCTGGAAGCTTCCTAGAGATTATGTATCGTGAATTAGCAGTTTGAGGAACAAATGCAGCTTCGTTTGGCTTGTTTTTAAATTTTCTTAAATTAATATCAACATTTAGAAATCAGAAGATTTTACGCGAAATAGCCAAATTTTTGTCTTTTTTTTTTTTTTTTTTTTAAGATCTGACAATAATGGGCCTTCATCCCCACCTGGCAGTAATTGGTTGGGGTTGATAGATGATAACTCCATTTTAGACACAAGCAAGTCCTTAGCATTTTGCCACAGACTCTACCACTCCCTATTGATCTATACCTGGCCTACTTCATTTGGTTATGATACTTGCTTAGCTCATTATAAGCACTGGAGTTTGCAGCACCTAATCTCTCTCAGCTGCTCTTGGAGTGGTGCCTAAAGAATAAATGATCACATTGACCAGAAATCTTACAATCTAACAGAAAAGAAGGTAAGAAACAAAAAACAAAAACAAAAACAAACATGAAATTGCATCTGTACATAGAAATTAGAACCATCACTTACTGCATATTTAGAGGGCTTGGGAGAGCATTGAGCATGGTACCATGGGATTGTAGTAAATCAAAGCCAAGTGCCTGGAGGAGGTGGTTTGGGGCTGCAGAGTAATTGCTCAACCTTTGCTGGAGAATTCTTTGTGCCTTTTGGATGCGACAAAAGAGCACTACTTGCTCAACTGCTTACTTCCTGGGAAGGTCCTGAGGGGAGGGGTGGAAGTGGGCCAGGAAATAACTCTCCTTGGGAGATATCTCCAGGGCCTGTGGGAGCATCTCAACTGCTTCTTGGACATTCAGTCAAGGGTGACAAGTTCAAGTGAGACTGCAGATCCTTATCAGAATGGATTCAAGGGGTCAGAACAGGCAGAGTCTGATGGGCACCCAGGCCCTGATTGATTTCTACCTTAATGACACAGGGGGCAACTTGACAGAGAACCTATCAGAATTCCCCAGCCACAGCTCATGTATGGATTGGGCAGCCAGGCCCCTCTGCCCTGTGCTGGAGGCTGTTCCAGGAAACTGGGGCCAGAGAACAATGCCTGCCCTTGGCCTGAATCTGCGAATCAGGCCTGAAATCTCCACCAGCAAGACCGACCCCTGAGATTTCCTCCCTCAGGACTTCTGATTCTGACCTCCAACCTGGAAGTGTCGGGGCCTAAGGAAGCAAGAAAATGCGTAATTTGTCCCAACAGTTCAAAGCTGGCGATTTTCATCTGTACTATTTTATTCAGTTGTCACCCAGCCCCTTCTATCCTGCTCTGCTTATCTCAACTCAGCCTGACCCCTGCCTGTTTGTTTTTTCATAGTTTCCAGGGTTTCAGGGGCTCATCTGAGAAGCAGTACAGCAAGGGAGCTAAAAGCCTGGCCCCTGGTGTCAACCTGCCCCTCACCAGCCTGTGACTCCAAGCTGGAGACACCACCTCTCTCTGTACCTCAGTTTTCTCATCTGTGAAATCGGGATAACAAAAGGGTCCATCTCGTAAGGCTTGTAAGGATTGAATTTGGTCATATCTATAAAACATTAAGAATGGGGCTTGGCACATGGAAAGAACTCTCTAGGTGTTAGCTGTTCTTTAGCTTAGAACACAGAGAAAGGTATATCTTTCTAGGATAGGGTGTCATTATTTCCAACCTCATAACCACAAGAATTGTCCTAGCTATTATTTATTAAGTGCTTACTCTAAGCCAGGAACGGTGCTAAACCTTTTACCTGTATTCTCTCATTTATGCCTCAAAATCCAATGAGGTAGATACTGTCATTACCCCGTTTTACAGAAAAAGACACTGGAACTCAGAGAGGTTAAGTGACTTGCCCAAGGTCACATAGCTAACAAGTAGCAAAGTTGGGATTTAAACCTGTGGCTTTTGGCTCCAAAGTCAATGCTCTTACCCAGGATTCTGGACAGAAATCCAGTTTGATAAGCAAAAGGTCCAAGTTGTTAAGTCAGGTTTTTATGTCATTACTGTTAAGGGATGAACCATGAAACTGTGCTTGCATGTGACAGGTTGCAGTTCCTGCTCAGACAGGAAGTGTCTGGATGGGGTTAGCCATCAGCCCTCAGCGTGGGGCACTCAGGAAACCACTTTAAGAAAGAGAGGGGAGTGGTCCAAAGTTAGGTAGATGAGGCCACATAGTCTTCAAAGGAACTAGAAGGAACTCAGTGTAGATTTTCTTCAACAGCCCAAACCTCTCACCCCACCACTTAAGTCTTGTTGACTTATTTGCTCTCACAGCTGAAGCAATAAATGTAGGGGTTAAAAAGGAAAGCTTTAGGGTATAGTTGATTCCAAATACCAGCCTAGCCATTTACCAGCTGTGTGACCTTGAATTACTTCTCTGTGCCGCAAGAACCCCATCTGTACAATGGAGCAATAATAGCACTGAATCTGCCTGTCAGGGTTGTTGTGGCTGTTCAGTGAGATAATGCATAACTTTGAGGCTATGGGCATGCCCGGTTCCAGCTGTACAACCATGGGCCAGTAACTTGACCTCTCTGCCTCAGTTTTCTCATCTGCTAGGTGTGGATAATAGTAGTATTACCTCATAGGACTACTGTGAAGAGTAAGTAAGATGATGTACAACATGCTCAGCTCTT